TATGTTACAGATCAAAATTTTGTTAACATCCAGAGTTGAACTTGGAGGGAAAGTGGATAGTGAAAAAAAAATGGAAAGAAATGAAGGAAGAATGCCTGGGAAAGTGAAAGCATGAAACCTGTATAAAACCTGATTAGAATATAATCTCCCAATAAAATGAATGGGAAGTGGATGTAAGGAAAGATGTTGAGAAAACGTCTTGGAACAAGGCATGAAGGATTATGCTACAGAATCCCACAAGTATATTAACAGGAAAATGTTTGGTGGGATAAGGAAGTTATTTTTTTCCTGCAAGTTGGATAAATATGCAGAAAAGAATGATTACCATGAAAGACAAGGCAGAAAAATATTGTATAATATGTTTAAAGGAGAAAAGATAATTGTAATATCAAGGAGGTAAAGGGACAGATAACATTAAAAATCAGAGCATTGTTGATGGAAATGATAATTTTTTTGAGGTAATAGATGAAGAACCAGCAGCTTGAATAGATCCTTGCTTCCAGTGAGCATTCTGACATGATTTCCTGTAATTACTGAATTGATGGTTCTTTTGATTGTTCAACAAGCACAAAGCTAGGTCCAGATTTAGTTATATTTTTATGGAATGAATTTTAGGTATTGGAATTGGAAATTTTCTAAACTTTTTCTGTAAGATGCGTATTTGTATTGTTGTGGTTAGTAGCTGATAGACTGATCCACAATCCACATCCAGCATCAGCATCAACAGTTCATCAGAACTTTTCTGTCTCTTGCTATGTAATCTATTTGATTATGGTGCTGTCCATTTGGAGATGTCCAGGTGTAGAACCATATTTTATATTTAAATAATGCATTAGACTTCTATATAGAAAATGGGCCCTGCCTCATTGTAGGTTCCTAATCTAATTTTTCTAATCATATACATTTTTCTCCAACTTTTCTTTTAAAGTTACAAGAAATTATTAGAACATGCTTCTTTGGTACTGAATCTACTATTTCTGGTAATTTTCTATATAATTCTTCATCTATTTCTTCTTCCATTGATGATGCATATACCTGTATAATCAAGAAACTGACTATCCTTGAAACTTGATAGAAATTACATTCCATTTTTAAATTTGGGTTTCACTTCCAAAATACAACATTTTGAATTTGTCTGATTGGAAATGTCCCATTCCTGTCTATTTTAGTTCAGTTACTCATAGAATCCCTCTCCTAATCCATGTCATTTCCATTTTAACAAAATCCAGCTTTTCTTGCAGTCATTTCATGTTTCCATTCTAAGGTTTTTCAATCAGCTCCTGGATCTCCCCACCAATTCTGCTTACAATCAGCAACTTGCTTTTCCAAAGGCTTTGATGCAATTATTTATACTGCCTAGACCTACTTCAGAATGCTCTTTATTCTTGCTTTGTAGCCAAATAGTTACCTCCAGACCTGGGGCCATCATCTTTAAAGGAAAGATTACTCTATTTCTTCATAAACTTCTTTCCATGGGTTTTATTGCCATTTGTGAAGAATTATGTGCTATTGTTTTCTTCCTCAGAGTTTCCTCAGCAATAGAGTTGCTACAACTTCAGCAGTGGCTACTTGGTCATAAACCCATCAGATGTATTTAACCTTGGCCCTATGCCAGTATTGACTGCTCTGCTGCCAACAGCCAGGAAGATGGACTATGCAGTACTTCTAAAGCAGTCTTGTAACTGGTCATGCCCATCATAGCAGTTAATTTATAACTAGTGCTCAACAGTCTAAGTGTGTTTACCAACCTATAACATTTAACAAAATAACAACCCCAGATATATTATACTCTATAAGAATGGATAGTACTGGTATATATCTCTGCATTTACCTGCATGTATGGGACTAGTCCAGATACAATGTCTTAAAGAAAATATACTGAGACACAGAAAGCAGAAATCTATAAATGAAATCTATAGGGCTGCTCAGACCAGAACAATCCATAGCTTCTCAGTGCTTTTTATTAATGAATATTTGGAGCAAGATAAATGCAGCTGTTGTAAAAAGTTCTTCCCTGGTCTCTGTTAGTTTCTTCTATTTACTTAGCTACAAGCAAGCTGTACTGTATTTATTGATCGTGACTCCAAGTTAATGTGTATATATGAATGCAGTTTACTCTTAACAATGGGATGGGATATGCTTAATCATTCCTTGACTATCCTGTCTCATAGTCAGGGTATAAGCATTTCCCATATATATTTTGGAGCTTCCAACTAAAGCTCAGCAAGATTGCCAATCAAAAAGAAAATCACAAACAGTGCCTGTTAAGTGTAAGTTTCAGTTGGTTATTCATCAGTTTTTTAGAATAGGGAGCTGATACCAGATGCTAGAACAATTTACCAATTGAGAAGCATCCAAGCATAGTCAAACAAATGCAAAATTTCTCTGGACTGGCAAGGTATTCTCAAATCCCTTATTGACATTACACAGATCTGTAGTGACATGCCCTGAATTTAATTCATTGCATTAGAAACAAACTTCTGTTTTTCCATTGAAACCATGCTGCCTTTTTACTTATTTGTTATCTGGTAGCAGAAAATGCCTTGTCCTAAACCTTCATAAACTCAGCATACTTGGTGCACTACAGCTATGGATATTTATAGTGTTTTTCAAATTTTAATATATAAATACTCAAAATACTTTAGAAATTCTCATGAACATGGTCAATGGCTGACTAAAAGTTCTGGGAGCTGTGACTTCCAACACATATCTGGAGACCATCCTAATGAAAAAGGTTACACTGATGACATTTCAAATATATTAAATCACCAGCCCCATCTACACCGTTCGATGAGATGATATTCAAAGCATATTTAGCATCTTTTTTAAAAAAATTCTCCTCTTTTCTTTGAACTTGTTACTATTAGAGCTTTTTACAGAATAAGCAAAAAGGAATTTGGTTTTTTTATTTTGTTCTTTATACAACAAAAACATCAATCACACTGACAAACATGGCTATTATATAGTATTAACAGTACTGACAACATAGTCTTAAGGTGTCATCTTATCTGCCAGCAACTGTTTTGACTGTCAACGACTGCAAATGGTAATATATGGCAAATTTAAGGTAATGATCTCATTATCCTTATATTAAATTAGTAAAATGCATTGGAAAATTTGGATTGTATCCAGATAAAACCGTCATTAGATTTCAATGAATTTACTTAACTCCTTTTTTATGACCCTGTTATCCCTTAATTTGGGGTAGAGTTGGAGCAACTGGATGGAGCTGAGCATTTACTGGTTGGATGCCCTTCCTGACACCATGCAGAGTTTGCAGCAGATATTTTTTCTTTGCACCCTAGGAGAGAAACATCTGCCGCTACCTAGTATTGAATTCTCAACCTCCCGAGTGTCTTCACCACTAGGCCACCACACTGTTCATTGTCCTTATACTAAAGGAATAAGGTGCATTTGAAAATCTGGATTGTATCCAGATAAAACCATCATTAGATTTCAACGAATTTACATAAATGCAACTAAATTAAGAACATCAATTGGCTTGGTATCCTTTTTCCTTCAAGTGTTTTTTTTTTTATTTTTGACTGAACATTTATTTGTTATCAGTTATATTTTATTTGTCATATTATGCAAACTAGTAACCATAATAATGAACTGAACAAAGTCAAGATCCAGCTTAGTGTCTTGAAGAAAAAGGCACTTTAAAAAAGAGTTGATAAATACATGAAATCTTAATATTTGCAAATATAACAGGAAATGTTTTCAATCTTATCTTACACTGAGATTCTTAATAGCTGAGGAAAATTTAGCTTAAATTGTCTTTGCCCAGCTGTTAATTGTAAGTTATACAAACTATGCTATTGTATAAGAATTAAGTCTCTTAACAAGAAGCTTACGACAGCTAAATCAAACTTTATAAAAAGCTATACAACCCACGACCCATTGGGTCATGATTTCAGTGATATTTCCTTACCTAAACTGATAACCAGAATGACCATGGGCAGGCAAAAAAGCAGCAGGAACAGGAGCAACCTTTGACTTCCTACCAGCTTACCCATTGACTTTGCTTGTGGGAAGCTAGCAGGGAGCATCAGAAATAATGATGAAAGATCATGGTTGATCACATAGGTGCTGCACTGACCATAACTTGACCAATACAACTGATCTGAAGATTGTTGAAATTTCAATTCCATAAGAATAATAGGTTCCACACTTAGGATACATTCTTCAGGTTAGCCCACTTGAGGTACCTTGATTAAAAAATTGTTACCCTGTGATGCACCATTTTGCCCAACTGAAGACAGTTTTAGTAGCATACAGATAGATATTAACCATTTATATACAGGAACACACTTCACTGAACTGAATAAGATTTCCAAGTAAGATCAAGTTTAATGGATATTTTAAGGATTCAACTCTGGATCTGAGCATAAATACAGTATCGGTAATTGAATAAGGGACCATTCAAAAGAATTATAGATGGCCCATAAAGTTTAGAAGAATGTACAGAACATAACACATCAGTTTTTCAAACTGATACCAGTCCATAATGGTGCTTTGTCAGCTACTCTACTGCATATAACTCAGCAAGGAAAATGCTGAAACCGTCTGTAAAATAACTTGAATTAGGTATAAAGCTACAACGTCCATTTACAGGCATCACTTTCTGTTAGCTTTTCCTGATTAAAAAGGAACTGTTTGCTCAAAAACAGTGAGAAGGCTTACAATTTTTTCACTTGCATTCTACAAGTTTTTCTCACCTACATTAAGCAGCAATAGCATCATAACTTGTTTCTTCTAGGAAACATAAAAATAAAAAGCTTAAAGCAACACCCCACATTTAGATTAAACTGTAAAGTATGTAAATAATTTAAGGGTTTTCTATTTAGCCAGCATGATCAAACAGGAGGAACCCAGTGACACGTTTTGTTTTGATCTCATTAGTGTTAGATATTAATATGTGCTAACTTTGCAAATATTTTAGATTTAACAATAGGAAAAGACACTTTAGATCAAAATTCAAGAACAAGTTTACTCACCTTCCTTCACTCTGAAACCAAGCAATTCGCTGTGCCAACCTCCCCCCAGTCACTTTTTAAAAGTGCCCAAGGCACCCAAGAACAATGGCATTTGATTGGTCAGAAGGGAAGATCTATCATATGACACGACCCTAATCTGGTCCAACCAGTTCTTAGTTGTGATAGGGCCAGCAGGTCTCTTGAGCCGCAACATTTACCCATTATAGTGGAATGTGGTCGTACTCATACCCATTCACCAAACTTTATGAAGTTTCTATTATTGCATGCGATCAAACATTAACAAGTGATTCATATGATCTTTAAAAGTAAATCGGGGAAAAAATAAAGAGCTATTATTTGCTTTACTAAATATATACAAAGGAAGCAGCCTTATTTGGAAGACAATAGAAAATGGCATTTAAGGCAGTGTTCTGCAAAAGAACAAGAAGATTAAGGAGCTGTATTGATGACATTTTCCTTCCCTTCAAAAGTCTTCCACAAGATATGTGCAAGTCTATATTTAAAATGAAATTCAGGAAGGTTAATTTCATGGCTCCTTTCTGTCTATAAGTTTAGGTTGTAAACTAGAGGCACCCATATCGGGGTGTAAGTGGGGGATAAAGGGGTCAAAAAGTCAGTATTTGTACTGTCACAAATTGGCTTTTTGAGTGTCCCCCTATGCAGACACCCTGACTGTAAAACACTTTGACTTGACCCATTTATTGTGTTAATTTATTTTATTTATATGTACAAATGAACAAGTATTATTCTGCCTTTCTTACTATAGGGCCATTCTAAGCCATAATTCTACACACTCTTAGATGATATGGTCATCAAGCCACAATGTTGGTTTTTTTGTGTGTGGCTTATTATGGAGTATAGGGCCAGCTACTCTAGTTGTAACTACGGCTGAGTTTAAAATGCAATTCTATTCAGGGAGTCTCTTTATAAGGTATGGAAGAGTTTCCAGAAGCTCCAATTAGTACAGAAAGCAATGATGCAGACAGTTATGTGTGCTCCCAAAACAGCACATATCACACTCTGCTCCATTGTCAAGGTAATGATTTAGAAGCTAACCAGTTTGTACAATGTGAGATGAATGATGCAATGTTAGGAATGACTCAGCAGGAGTCTGCATCCCTTTAAGAGCTTGAGTATAAAAGGGAAGGCCTTGCTGGAGTTTTTTTCTCTCCGTTTCCTGCTATAATTGCTGTATATTGGAGTTTGCTGTATCACCTCGTGTATGTATTTTGTTTCTAGTGTACATTTGCACACTATTTAAATACAAACCATTTATTTATTTATTTGATTAAATTTATATACCGCCCTTCTCCCGGAGGACTCAGGGCGGTGCACAGCATATTAAAACAAATAACAATAAAATACCAGAATAAAAACCCCTCTAAAACCAAATTAAAAGCCAAATATTAGTAGCTGTGTAATAATTAAAATTATATTAAAATCATCCCTAACTAAAATCCACCCTAGGT